AATCAAATTGATTTTCCTTGAAACAAGTTTTAATCTATAAACAAAATTATCTCCCTACCACAACTATTATCTTACAACACTTTTTCTATTAAATAGGAATTAGGAAAAACCGCATGAACTTTATTGGTTACCTGATACTTTTATTTTCTTGTCTATGAGGGATATGGAGTCTTAAAACCAACTCTAGGTTTGAAAGTCACAAAAAGCTTATTTCTACCTAGTTTTTGGTTTCTAGGAACTTCAGGAACTTAAATAAAACTTATTAACTACTTTTAGGAAAAAATTGATTTTAAGTTAGAGGAATCATTAGCTTTTAAACCCGGAGTCCTTATATATTATAGCGGCTAGAATTCCAGGACTCCGGGACTCCGGTCTTGAAAACAAAAACTTCTAAGTCAAAAAATCTTGTGAATTTTTTCTTTCTTGTCACCCAAAACATTTAGAGTTTCTAGACATCAAAAAACAGGAAAAATTAGAGAATCAAAGTCGCAGTCTTTTTAAAACTCTTCATCCCGGTTGAACCTCAAAAAGGACTGCATTTGTGTAAAACTATAGGCTATGCTTATAATTTCAACGAAAAACACAGAGAACAAATTTCTGTTGATTTAACATTTCCAATAAAAAGTATATGTCATTCCTTGTTGAATAATAAACATATTAAAGCAAAAAGTTTCAACAAAAACGATTGTGCTATTATATTTAGGCTATTGTAAGTATGTAGGCGCTGGCCAAATTTGATGATATATGGCAAACGTGAGAATATTTGTCGAACAAACACGTTGTTATTGCTGTCTGATTAGCTGAAGGAAAATGTGTTGATTTTAAAAGTAAAATCATAAAATTTAGAGCTTTCGTAACAGCATTTAGACCTTGCACAGTTTGGTTGACAAGTTAAAAAACACTATTGCAATTTAATCTTCAGAGGTTACACCAATTGAATTTAGAAAAGAATCAGAAATTTTTCAGTCAAAACAGAAAAAATTTAATTAAAATGTTTAACTTAAATTTGCATCATTTCTGTTTTTTAAGAATAACTTTAAAATAAAAATAACAACGACACCATGAATTAAAAAAATCCTTTTGAATCTATACATATTAGGTAACTATTAAAAAAAGAGAAAGAAAAATGAATTATGGACGTTCATTTGCTTTCAAATAAAAATAGTTCTAAATTAAGTAATAGTATCAAGAAACAAAGGGATAGCAAAAAATATTCCGTAGAATCCCGCCTAAACTCAATTGTTTCATATAGTATAAATTTTCTAATTTGATGGGTTAAAATTTGATATATATATATATATATATATATATATATATATATATATATATATATATATATATATATATATATATATATATATATATATATAAATTTTTAAGGTATTGCAATTAATTACAAATTATTAAAAAACTTTGAAAGTGTGAATGCGTCATTCATTTGTATGTCATACATATATTGGTTGATATTTATATTATATGAAAAGGCTATTAAAAATGTACATTCAAATTTTACATTTTTTTTCTAGGGAGCTCAGACATAAAGTTCTTTTAAAACTGAACTTACGAACAAGTAATGATGTGACACAATGAGTTACCAACAAGTAACGATGTTTTAAGCGCTTTGTTATGATGACAAGCAAACTTCATTCCTTCTCAACAGTATTATCAAAGATACTGTTGAGTCTCTGCTTAAAATATCTCAGTTTAATGCTGAAATTTATCATCCTGTGTATGTTGAGGGTAAGTTTGGACGTGATGGATTTGAAAACCATAATTATCGTTATCAACCTTTCTGATCCACAAGATGTTGACTTAAAGGGAACAAATTAGATCGGTTTCTTATTGTGTTCCCTTGAAATTAAAAATGGAAACAATCTAGTATCTAGAGTAGATAAATCCCAAACTCAATTATTTATACAAGGCCTATTACTCTTGTGAAAGCAAAGGAAACTAGGGAAAGTTAGAAGAAGTATTTTAAACAAACCCTCACACTAAAAGTTTGTATAGTGCTTTCAATACCGACTCCATTTTTCAATACCAGTATTTTGGTACTGAATAATTTCAATACCGGTAATACCGGATAATACCGGTATTAAACTTTTTTAATTTATCATAATATCAAGCTAATAGTAAAAATTTCATTAATTTAATAAGCTTATTTATATTATAAAAATTATTGCCAATTTATATTATAAAAATTATTGCCATTTTTCGCTTTTCCCTCTTTGTAAAATGAGCTCTTAAGAAGCATAGGGCATTCAGAGTATCAATATCGAAAAAAGCATTTGAAATATTAGAAATGTAACAACAAGGGAATGAATGTTTCAAACAATTTATCAAAAATTATATGCAATAAGACGGCATGATCGGTACTACCTGTATTGGAAAGCACTGTTCTCAGTAAACTGGCTAAAAATGCAACTCAACTTATTCAGAAAATGGTTTACAAATATTTGTAAAAACAGAGATAAGTATGGTTTATGACAAAATGGTAAATATATTGGTTGGTGATTCTTGAGTTTTTTTTCCGCTGCTGCAACTGTTCCAGGATTAATGCCTAAACTTGGGATGCATACTTCAGGGGTTTACATAGTTAAAATCTACACTAATGTGATCAGTACTTGAAAGAAATTAGAAAACTGTAAAATATCCAACACAGATGCTGAAAGGCCAATGTTATAAGTCTATAGTTGAATTAGATGTTATGTTTATTCTATTTTTCACTAGAAGCTACGGGCACTAGACCACCGTCTGAAATTGTTATATAAATTGAGGGTCTACAGACTCAACCATGGTCTGAGCAGGACGGATAAAAACTGCTGGTCTAAGCAGGGATAAAAACTGCTCTGTAGACAGCAAAGAATAAATTTGCTTAATTTTTACACAAGAAAACAGGAATGCTCCTTGATTTTCAGTGGTGGCAACACTAACAATGAACCAATCAGAACTGTTTTGATCACATATGGATCACTTATTTATAAGTAATCTGAAGAGCCAGGAGAAAATTGGAAAAAATACACCAAGGCTTATAAATCCAAAACAATTTGCAAAGCAAAACAGAAGTTATTTCAAATAAGTTAATTTCACATGAAATTTACTGCATATTGATGACAAGAACACACCCAACAATCGCCAGTAAAAAAGGCTTTTGCAATGCAGTAAATGTGGAAAACTCGGACATACCATAAGAGGGTATAAAGTAGATGTAAACAGTGTCCTTACTGAGGAAGAAATTATAACTCAAGAACGTTTTCTGTAATAATATAATAAAATAAGATTTATATCTTTGTATATTTGTGCTTTTTTATCTTTGTATTTTGTGTTTTGTAAATTATATCTTTGTAAATTATATATATGTATTTTGTAAATTATACCTTTGTATATTGTGTATATTATAATAAATTATTTTGAATTCAAATATATTTGATTTCAAATATGATATCGTTTCCAAAAAATATGCCTGTCATCTATTAGCCATATAATAACCATAACACATGCCAGAACCGCGTTCTTTTTATATATATATATATTAAATATCTTCACTTGTAATTGTTTAAATTTTTTTATTTTAGCTTGTAAATTTTATAAAATATTAACGCGATGTTTTAAAATGTAATAAAGATCAAAACAAAACAAAAACAAAAAAAGAACCATGTAAGCGGACCCCAAAGCAACCTAACCAGCTTGTAGCATGTTAGTTACAAAGATCACGACAATATTTATTAAATGGGGCGGTGGTAGATACATTTTAAAAAATATTTTAATATTCTAATTTATAATTTAAAAAATATTTTAAAAAATCGAAAAAAGTCACCGCTACCGTTAAAACAAGAACCATTAAAGGCGTTATGTTATAACTATTTTGAAAGTCTGCAAAAATACTTTGAAACCCGAAAATACATGAAAAATCACAAACTACGTTCTTTTTGCAACAAGTGAACAAGCAGAAAAGAAAAAAACATTTTATAATATCCGAGAGAAATTTTATAATATCCCACAGAATGATGTTATAATATCCAATAATAATGTTAAGACTTTTTGTAGTCAATATGTTTATCATTATTCTGTTCAAGGTATTGTGAAATGATTTTTTGAGTGCTGTACAGATTTTTTTTTACTTGTTTAATAAATTATTTTTTATTAAATTATCTTTCAGTCAGTTTTATTTGATTGGTTTTTTTTACTTATTTTTCAAATTTATAGAAATTTGTTTCAAAAATTTTGTAGAGTTCAGAAAAACTTCTAATATATGTTATGATGGAAAACATTAACATAAACTTAGAATTCTTTAAAATATTACAACGATCATTTTAGACCACAGTTACTCAGTTACACAGTTAATCAGTTATGCAAATAGCATAAATATTTTCAATAATTTATCAAGTATAATACACCCTGACTGATACTTACACCCTAAAGTAAGTGATACACCCTAAACTTAGCAAATTCACAACTCCTACTAAAAAAAGATGTGTAAAGTTTAGAATAATTTTTGTTATTTACAAAAAATTTTATTTGATATAAAAGGTATATTTAAAAATAAAATATTTAACTAAAATACTAATTTAGCAATGCACATTGTTATAAAGAAAAAAAAATTTTTCGGAAATTTATCACTTATATATGTGATTATTTTTTATATATATCAAATATTTGATATATATATATATATATATATATATATATATATATATATATATATATATATATATATATACATATATATATATACATATATATATATATATATATATATATATATATATATATATATATATATATATATATATATATATATATATATATATATATATCCAATTTTAAATATAATTATTTCAATCTAATTTTAAAGTTGTTCTATTATTCAAAAAGTGTTTTCAAATTAATTTTCTTACCAATAAAAATAAATTCCTTTTTCCAAAAACTACAAATTTTTTTGTTGTTTTAATTTTCTTGATTTTAATCGAACTTTTAATTTATATTTCATTTTGTATTTCAAGGGAACAGCAAAGGTTTATATTTTCGGAATTCTACAGACGATATGTGGGTTCAGACAGCTAAATGGAATCTTTGAACTCAAGTTCTTTTAAACTCAATCCTCTTTTATAAACAAAAATACTATGTATTTCATATATATATACATGAAAAAAAGTGCATTGTTTGTGCATTTTATAAGTACTCATAATTTTGTATTATTTTAGGTAGATCTAAGAAAACAATGCAGAAGTTAAAAGTATTATAATAACTATTCTATTTTATATTTATAAACTTGCTTATATATAAGTTACATGTTCCATATTTATTTATTTTTTATGTTAAATGCATATTTGTTTATAAGTATTACATTATCAAGTAGTCAAAGTAAACGAATATAAAGTATTAAACTTATAAATAAGGAGTGCACTTGGAAAACCAGATAACTCACTTTTTTTTTATTCTGAGATAATGACAAAAAATGTTTTCCAGTAAATCGAAAAGCTAAAAATTAAAAGATAAACAATAAATATCATTAAAAGAATGTTTAAGACAAAAATTTGAAAATCGCGCTCTTTTCATTTTATTTTTTATTACAAAATGAAAAAACATTAATAATCAATATAACTGTGCAAAATGTCCTCTACCTTATAAAATTAGTATTTTTAATGTTTGATACTTTTATAGGATTGATAAATTTAAAACTCAATTGTAACTGTTTAATGAAAGAACGTTTTATCTGGTTTTGCACACCAATTATTTTTTTTTATCTGGTTTTTATCGGAAATTTATTTCTGACTGGTTTTCGAACAAGCTTTATGAAGTCAACTTGACTAGTGACGACTTTAATAATCAATATAATTATGCAAAACGCCTCTCTGCCTTAGAAAATAAGTAACTTTAATGTTTGATACTTTTATAGCATTGATGAAGTTAAAACTCAATTGTAACTGTTTAAATGTGGCTTTTGTGATTTTAGGTAATTTTTGTGTATATGACTTTTTTCTTAAATAACGTCCTCCAATTTAACAAAACGTTTTTAAAACAGACATGTTGATTAGATAAAAATTTTTTCGACATTTCGACAATAATCTATTTGGTTTTGCAGGGACAGAATGAGTTAAGGGAGGTAAAATATTATTAAAATAGTTGCTTTTAAATCTAATTTTTATTTGTAAAGATGTAGGAATATTTGTACTACAAAAAAGATTGCTAAGTCTGTTTTTTTTTAAAGTGAAGTATCTGGTTTTGCAAGTCCATTCCTCAAATGTAAATGCAATTAATATGTAAATGAGTACATAACTCCTAAACTTGCATAGATCCAAATTTATATATCATTTATATATTATTTTTTTTCTGCAAGAGTGTTGAACTACTACCAACCTTCACTTAGATTATCTTCTTTTTAAAGAGCCTAGCCTTTTAAATAAACTTTTTTAATAACTTTTTAATAAAATTATTAATAAACGACTAAGCCAACGTGCCACAGTATAGGGTTTCGTTCACATATTTCGAAACCCTATACAGTATAGTGTGTCGATTTTGGGTTGTTTTTTTTTAAAAAAAAAATTGGGGAGTTACCAAAAGCTGCAGAAATTTCAGGAGAATCCTAATATGGTTTAAACTTGAATAAAAAATTTTTTGTAAGGTGATTTGACTCTTTATACTTCCCTAAAATTTTATAAATAATAAAATATTTTTCAATATATTTAAATACCGTTTAAACTAACATTGCGAAATAATTTTATTAGTATTGATGTTAGAAATATAACAAGATTTTTTTTTAAATCGAATTGTTTCAAAAAATATTATAAATATTATAGGTAGTTAGGACTGCTTCGTTAACCGGTGACTTTTATGATATCAGGTCTATTTTTCAGTCCAAAGTTTCAGTGTAAAATTTCAGAATAGGAGTTTTTCTTTTTTTTTTTCAAGAGAAGAATCATCTTTTTGTAGATCTTCGTTTTTAGTACCTTTAATATCTTTTATTTTATTAATAGCTATCTTTCTATTCTTTTCAGTATTAGAAAACAACAATGTTTGTAGTATGCACTCACTGAAACAAAAGCTGATCTTTGAATAGATTCTATTTTAATGACATCTGCATTTTGAAAGTTTTTTTATTATTATTATTCTGATTTACTTCCAATATGGCTGCAATCAACCAGTATTAAGATTTTACCAGGAAAAAAAAAAAGAGTTATATAGAGCAAGGAAACGGTTGACAAAAGACTTAAAAAGTTGAAGGTTGTATGAGTCAGTAAAACATTAAGATGGGAGAGAGTTCCAAAGGGTTGAAGTGCGGGGAAAAAACCTAGACGAATAACATTTTTTGGAGCATGCAGGGACAAATACAGTAAAATATTGAGACTTTGATGAATAACGAGTCAAGCGAGAATTAGTTTTGGCTAATCGAACTAGAGATAAAAGCTTTTTTGAGCTGCGGCCATGATAATATTTGTAGAAAAGAAAAAGAGGTGTAACTTTACGACGATAGAAAAGAGGCTCAAGCTTAGCAGATAGACCGGGTCTGACTACGTTTACAATGCGTTTTTGGACCTTGTCTAGAAATGAAAGACCATTATTAGAAGAACCAGTATGAATATGACAACAGTATTTCATACAGGGACGAATAAGAGATTTGTAGAGGCAGAGAATGGAATCAGGAGAGATAAAATAGCAAGCGCAATAAAGAGAAGCATAAGTTATAATTAAGCATAAGTTAGCATAAGTTATAATTAAGCATAAGTTAGCATAAGTTATAATTAAGCATAAGTTAGCATAAGTTATAATTAAGCATAAGTTAGCATTAGATGCTAATTTAGCAATCGATTGTATATATGGTTTCCATGAAAGGTCAGTAGTAAATAATAATCTAAAAAGACTTATAAAAGAGGACTCAGTGAGAGGGTTATCATTCATCAATATAGGCATCTCGAAAGTTCTGCGATAGTTGCTTGCAATAAATAACTGAGTTTTGTTGGAATTGAAATTACAAGCCACTGCGAGCCCTAATTAGTTACAGAAGTAAGATCAGATTCAAGATCAGCTGCCTGTTCTGAACAATCAAAAAAAGCAGACTTTTTTTCAAGAGTATAAAATTGTATAAAGTTATATAAAGAGTATAAAGTTGTATAAAGGAGTATAAAGTTGAGTCATCAGCAAAAAGAGCTACTTTAGATGAAAGGTTGTCAAGATGATCATTAGTGTAGATAAGAAACAAAATCGGACCAAGAATAAAACCTTGAGATTTCCCAGAAGTTACTAGAAATCAAGAAAAGTACATGTTTAGGACCATCAATCCGAGAATGTTCAACTTTGATCTTTAACTAACAAGAAAAATAAAAACCAACTATGTACTCGGTGCTATCACCTTAAATTTTCTAAATATTTACTTTCCGTGCTTCTTGTTTTGAATTACATGTTGAGATCCATATTTTACATATTCTGTCAGCAGTAGTTAACTACCTTGAATGTGAAACAGACTCAGTTTGTAATAAATGAAATTTTGGAGGTAAAATATTACTTTTAATCATAAAAGTGATCTCTACACAAGTCATTTATTATTGTACCATCAAGAGAAATAAATGGGTCACCAATTTTAATAGTTTCAAATACTGGATTAATATCTAGATTTGTAGCCAGATCAAGAATGGACACAATAACACCAGACCATTTATTGTTAAATTTTGTTTCGCCATTTAAGTTAGTTATAAAATATAAGCGGCGACTCATTTGTATGCAGTTGATATATAAACCAAACAAGTCTTTATCCTAATTTTTTTCTATATATTTGATGACTCCACCCTTCCAACTAGTGTTTACATTTGTAGAGTCTCCATCAATAGCCTATAAAAACTTATCAATACCTCTCTCATTTAACAACTTCATTTGATCTCTGCATTAACACTTTTTGTTGATTTCTCAGGAGCAAAAGTGAAATAAATATTTCCCTCCAGGTTCCGTACACACAGAGTAACGCTCTTCTTACAAAGTTATTGAAAATTTTGTATTTGATTTATCAAGTTTAGTCATTTGTTTGGTTTGATCAATATTCTCATCATAAAATATACATTTCATTTTGCTTTTTGCTATTTTTCAAAATCCTTACTAAGATCAGAGATAACTTTTTATTGTGCTCTAGAAACTTTATCATGATAGATAACTTTTAAATAACATCTGATGATAAACTTTTATCATCAGATGTTATTAATCCTACATTTATAAGTGTTGATGTTGAATTGAAGCTGCAGCACGTGCTGACACCCTATATCTATATGAGGAGAATTTACAAAGAAAATCATTATGTGTGTAAAAAAAAAAACATTATTATTAACAAATGGTTTAAAGTAGAATAAAGAACAAGTCTTTCACAAATTGATGCCTAAGTCTTAATATATCATACTGCATCTATTCTCTAAGTCCTAATATATTATGCTTCATCTATTAAATGGATTGGGCGACAATATATTTATTCTGAGGGCGAGATTGAGTTAATTTGGTAGGTTGAGCAAAAAACAATTATATGCATATTCTACCATTTCAAACGATTATAAATGTTATTACAATTAGGGATTTTACACACATACATAAACACACACAAATTATGTGTGTATGTGTATATATATATATATATATATATATATATATATATATATATATATATATATATATATATATATATATATATATATATATATATATACATACATATATATATATATATATTTATATATATATATATATTTTTTTTTTTTTTTTTTGATATTCACCTCCTCAATACCGAGAAGGCCACTACAGATGACGAGACTACTTAATAGTGGTTATAACCCTCTCTCAACTCTATAACTACGAAACACGAACCTTGACGAACAAAGCCGCTGCGCGGAGAAACAAGTTGAGCGCGGTACTACCAGGAACGTATATACCATATATATATATATACATATATATATATGTATATATATATATATATATATATATATATATATATATATATATATATATATATATATATATATATATATATATATATATATATATATATATATATATATATATACAATAACACAGGGCGCTAATTCATACCAAGAAATTAAAATTTGAAAAGTTCAAAATTTTAAAAATTTTGTGAACGCAGCAATTTATTTATTTCTGATACAGCACATTGTATTTTTGCGTTACTAATTCTCTGGATTGAGAAATAATTC